CAAGTCTCCATCTTCCCAAGTTTCCTTCACCTTCCAAATAGCACCCACACCCCCACCCTCGCTCCCCCCCCAACCCAAGTGTTCAAATACATAAGCCTGTAGGGAACATTTCTCATTCAGATCTCTCCACATCCGGTCACACACGACATTAAAAAAAAAAGCAAATGGCGTCACGTATAGTCGCATGTGACTCTTTTTTTAAAGTAATGTTGTACATGTAAGTCTTCCTGTCTAGCTTCAAGCAAGATCAAAGAATTCGTACCAGTTACAGAAGGCTACCCTGAAGTCTCTACATTCTTAGTTTTTATTCTTATTTTTTCTTTTCTGGTAATGTCTGTGGGCATTGATTGAAATGGAGATGGACCCTAATGAGGCCCGTGGAAAAAGGAACCATCCTATTTTGAAAATATTTAGGACTTTATAGGAACACCATGGGGAGGAAGTATGTATTTTGTTGTGGTGGGGAAAGATCTACTGAAGGTGAGGGTTTAAGTGAGTCCACCAGACCCAAGATGAAGGATAAATAGGTGTCCTATTAGGAAAGCACTCACACAGAAAGGAGTAAATAACCCCCATGGTCTTCCTGCACCAAAAGATGCAGTCTCCACCCTTCTGATGTTCTCACTGAAAACCCACCAGAGCACACGAGCCAGCCCCTCCTCTACCTTATAAGGGGGTCACTTCTTTTACAGCTGAAACCACACCCGCAGGGTGTGGCCACCACTGCAAGTTCAGTGGCCAGGCAAGATGCCACTATAAGATACTTTGCTGTTATAGTCTGAGGACTGATTAATGCTCTAGGATTAAAGATAAAATATGACTGCCTAGGTTGGGCCATTTAAATGTGTCTGGTGGTCAGCTGAGGTAATGTGCTCCCATATTATGTGAGAATCCACGGTGGCAACTTTGGGAAGGTTTTTTTGTCCTGTAGAAAACACATGTTAAGTTTTTGAGCCCTTATGTCCTTGTATGTAGACGAGTCACTAAATACCACCACCCTGTTTAGGCTTTAAAGTTTAGAGTCTGTGTTACCGCAGACTGATGGCAAATGGGAAGAGAGGAAGATGTCAAGAAAAACAAAACATAACAACAAAAAACAAAAAGACAAATTTTCCACTCCAGAGATGGGTAAAATGCAGCCCTGTACAAGGTCACGTGGGTCTGCCGCTCATCACCTCCTATGGCAGTTCCCATACCTGGTATCACAGCTCTGGTTAGATCTGCATGTACCCCCGAAGGTTCTGGGTAGAGTTCAAGGCTGGAAATGCACGGCGGCTGAGAGCTGCTGGCAGCGTTTAGATCACTCTGATCCAGTCATCTTTGTTTTCATCCTTTCTGCTCCCCTCTGCCCCGTAGATTGAGGTGATTTTTTTTAAAACTCCATTGTTGCACAGACCTGGTCAGCAAGTCAGGGGATTAGGAATTAAATGCATAACATTTCATCTCATTTTATGCGATTCAGAGATATTAAGGACAGAGTTTATCTTTGTCCCCTAATATTTTTTTTCCAGGTCAGATGGATGGTAGGAGCGATTTAAAGCGTAACGGTGAGATTTAGGGAGTGGCAGAAAGGGGCCGCATGGGATTAAAACAGTAGCTTGTTGGGGGAGTGGTACCCAGTTGTCCACTAAGGTTGTCATGGAAACTCTGTGTTTTGTCATATTTTTTCCCAAGCCTGTGCCTCAAACAGGGTAAACCCTTCCTAATGGGAAAGGGAAGCTAGGGGATCTGGGCTTTGTGATCACCTAAGGGTTCTGTTGGGAGTGGGTATCTCAGTTTCCCTGTAGCTTCAATGTGTCAGAATCTGCAGTTGACAGCACCCTTGCCCTTCCTCCCTGAAACTGCTGAGCACAGAAAAGGCCTGGACTATGGGAGACGTCTTCATGGCCACCTGTGCTCAGATAGGCACAGCTACGATCTAGCTACCTGGTACAATGTGGAGGTTTGGTTTCTTGAGCAAATGCTGTGTTGTGGGCTTCTGTGTTCCAAGCAGACACTCACAGAGGGCTGACAAGCCTCTGTGCTTTGAAAATGTAAAATGAAAAAAAGATGCCACAGTATTTAACTCACGGACTAAAGTGCTTTCAAAGGCCAAAGATGCTGGGTAATTGAGGGAAGCGTTGAGAAATTCAGTTAATTAGCACTTTGATCCCTTATCATGAAAGGTGTCCTGTAGAATCAGAGTTGATATTGACTATTTAGTCTAATTGCCTGTTTTCTTGCCACCCGTGTTCTCATTTAAAAGAACCCATGCATCTGAATGCTTGTCTTTCTAGTGTCTTAATGGTAACCTACCTCTGAACACGTCTGGAATTGGCTTCATGGCCTTGGAGTATCTTTCAAGTAGTGACGCTTGACCAAAAATCACAGTGCTTTAACAAAAGCTAGACCATTCAGTCCTAAAGTAGCCCAGCGGAAGTGCAGCACTTCCTGGCAAGTCTTGACAGCATAGGCTGGTGTCTGCATCAGTCACAAGAGCTTGCAGACACATTTCTCTAGTTTAGGACAAGACGGCACTACATTCTCGCCCCTCAGTGTCTGCAGGGTAAGGGACTCCTTCCCTTTTTCTCACCCTCTTTCCTCTCTCCTTACAATGCTCTAACGGCCTTTTTGCATGGGGAAAAAGTAGAACTCAGACACCTCTACAAACGAAAACCTGTATTTCAGAAAGCGTTCTATTTCTGCCTTTTCCCGAGGCCCACACAAATGGAAAAGCTGGCTTGATGACACATCTTGTCACAGTCTGTGGGATTTGGTGTGTGTGCGTGTGTGTTTCAAATTCTGATTATAAAGACGACTGTGTGTGGTTAGCGGAATCCAACACACAAATCCGGCTTTCTGGGTCTGCGATCTACGATGCTGCTTAATAAGGCTGCCTTGGTTGCATTAAAATGATTTAACAGTCAAGTTTATTCTTCTTTGAAACAGGTTTTGGGGGTCAGTCTTTAAAGAGTAGAGAACAAAGCTCTCAACTGCAGTCGGTGGTCCTGTTCTGTGGAAACTTTATGAAATCATCTTGTTAAAAAATGGGAGCAGGCAAAAAAATCTACATATGCATGAGTGGAAAGTTCATCATCACCAATTTGAAGTCCAAGATTGGGGCAAAAGTATTACCTCTGCATAAAGAGCCACTAATTTTATTTCTTCGTTTGTTAGAACAATTATGTTTCAAGCTCTTAAAGCATGTGCTGTAGGCTCTTCTGGTTTCTGGGGATGAGTAAGGTACACAGATTCTCTCAGTGTCTAGAAACCACATTCTGGTAGCACAGTAGTAGGAGTAGATATTCATATGGAAAGATACATGATTGCTTTATGTCAGGTAGCTTAAAACATGTAAGCAAATTTTATTCTTAATCCCAAGAAAGTAATATATGGACATCAACTGGAAGATGAGAGTGAGAGACAGTATGTTCCTCCCCTCCTCGCCCCTGCCCACCCTTGGCTTGCTTATTTTAAAAGGAGAGTTCATGAAAGGAGTGGAATCAAGCTTTAACTTTTTGTTTTCAGAATTCCTTATTCCTCATGGCTTTGTTTTTTGGTCCAGGAGAAGCTGCGTGGGGTCAGAGCTGGTCGACTGGCTTCTGGAACACTGTCCTTTTGTCCAGTGTCGCTCTATGGCCATTGGGGTCTGGCAGCTCCTACTGGATATGGGAATTATGTCATCAGGTTAGTGCTCCATGCTTGGAAGACACAATCACTGCTTTGTTGAACTGCTAGGTCAAAGCATGATCTTTCCAGAGCATGTTACAGTCTGGATGGAAATTGTTTCTGAAGGTAAATGCTTGCATTCTTATTTTCTGAGTAAAAATGACAGCAGTTCATTTTTGGTTTGTTTATACTTGCCACACCTTCTGTGAAAATAATTAGGTGCTTGTCAATGTTAGACATAAACCTGTAAAAGGTGTTGCCTTCCCCTCTCTCTTGGCAACTCTGCTCATAAATTTCTTTAGTGGGTGATGTCTTTTGTTGCTTCAAATGAATGGTTTATCATGCTGTCTGTATTCAGAAAATGATCTATGAGTGATGTGTATGTGTGTGTGTGCCATTTTAATTAAATAATCACAAACACTTAGATATGTTGAGCCGTGCAGATTAGTTGTTCAAACAGGACAGAAAATGATGTTTAGCTGTGAGCTGAAAGAGAGGACAATCTCTCTTTTCTTAGTTGAACCCAGGGAATTGAAGGGAGGGTCGAAGCCACGCAATTTGTTCTTTATTTATTTCACTCTCTCGGGTGCTAGTTGGTACTGGGAAGCCTTGTTTCTATAGATGATAAAGATTGAGGGTAACTCCTGATGTCAGTGTGAAAGAATGGCACAGGTTAGGACATGGTTGTAATCTTCTTAGTAACACCTAGCACCTAATACTCTTATTTGGAGAGTCAGTCGGCTGCTTTTGAGGAGGTTACTGGCTCATTGGCTAGCACCAGGCTTCTGGCTGGTAACACGTTTTTTATGTAAATGCCTTTTAGAACCATCTCTGACTTTTGATCCCTTGAAAACAGGATTTCCCAACACCGACAGTGTTGACAGTTTGAGTTAGACAATTCTTTGTTGTGTGTATGTGGGGACTGTCCTGTACACATAGGATTTTTGGCAGCATCCATTTCTTTTTCCTTCTAGGTTCCAGTAGCTCATTCCTCCATTCTGACTATCAAAAATGTCTCTAGACATCACCAAGTGTCCCTTGAAGCAGGGGTGCAGTAATCCCCAGTTTAGAGCCGCTAATTTTGCCAACGGAAACTTACTACCATGCTGTCTGTTTGGCCTTCCTTGCCAACCCCCCTCTTTGAACTGATGTTGCTTTGACCAGCACTTGTCTGCGAAGCAGAAAAACTTATAAAATGTACGCGAATATATCGGTCCACGTTCAAGCAGCGAAACTGACTAGCCCATGCGTCCTTCCGCTCGATTGAGAGTGGTGAGCTTGAGTGAAGCCTGAATGTTACGTTGTCTAACCTTTGGTTTCCTCCTAGTCATCGGGTTGCTCACTTTGTTATTAGATTTACGACTCTAAAACCACAGCACATTTTCCCGTTTGTTTTCCTCCAACAGTGGACCAGCATCTGTACTTCCAAGATAATTACGTTTTCTACCAGTTTTCTTCGGATGAATGTAGCTACTTGTACTGTGAGTTTGAAAGAGAGGAAGAGTGGCAGAACGGAGTGAAACTCTTGCTGCAGCTGGTGCATCTCATTCCTGCCAGAGCCGGCATCTGTGACTTGTGAGTAGCACGTCGGGTACCGCTGTAAACTGCTGTTTCTCAGAGAACGTGTCCTGTGTCCTGGGACTGCTCTGCTCCTTCAGACCACCGTCTTGTTTGAGTGGTAGGAATGCTAGTCCCCGAGTTCGGAAAGGTAGACTCATTGTTGGAGCTACATCTTCCTAGCTCCTACATGGCTCCATTGCTGTTCTGCCCCTCAGCATGCTTGCGCCTCCGGCTGTGGCGCCATGATTGCTCTCCGTTTCACTGCTACATGAGTAGATGGTCTAAGTTGAGTATAAACATACGATTGGGCTGGAGTTGAACGAAATAATAACTCCCATCATATCCACCGTCCAAGTCGTGACTGTGCTAAGAAGGGGCCTCAGCAGACATTTCTGAAAATACTGTAGCAGCAGCGTTTGGCAAATTAAGACATTTGAGTCATTATCACATGAAGATAGTGAATCACCGTGTGATTAAAATAATTAGAAGCGGCTTCCTTGAGTCGTGATATGGGGATTATGACATGCCTTGTTTATCCTTGGCAGCAGTGACAAGCTTGTTACAGAAAGGAGTTGCAGGTTGAAATGCCAGTTTGATCACTCGTAGATGTAGAGCCCTTCAGGTATCAGAACACTGTCCCATATTGTTGACTCCTCTGGCTTTTAGAAGGCAAGTGGAATGGTCCTTACTTCCCAGGTGAGAGTATAGCTTCCAAGAGATGCCTTCCCGTGACCATAACAAACGTAACGTAGGGGAATGGAGAGATGGCTCAGCCGTTAAAAGAGTACTTGCTGCTCCTCCAGAGTTCTTGGGCTCAATTCCCAGCACCCACATGACAGCTCATAGCTGGGGATCAGACACCCTCACACAGACATGTATGCAGGCAAAACACCAATGCACATGAAATGGATTAGGGTGCTCCAGTGGTGGAATCAGTTAGCATGTGGTACTTACACAAATGTAACTTAGTTTTATGAGCCAAAAAGTGACACTACTGAGTAGTTCAGCCTTAGCAAAGGAAACTACTTATATTAACAATATATTTCCGGTAGAAAAGTTGGGTGTCGGGAATGTATTTCATGTCAGGCACTGCACCAAAACACATGCCTTATAGTCTCTGTTTCACCTCAGAAAGGTTCTTGAGGTACCGTTAATTTCCACTTGTAAGTGAGGAAACAGAGGCATAGAGCTCAGCTAACCTGTCCAAGGTCACACAAACACAGAGGGTGTGGTTTTCGTGTTTGGATTCACATCTGCCTACCTTTATTACTTCAGCTTTCTATACCTGCTGTGATGTGTTCTCAGGAGCTGTGGGATAGCCCTAGCATCCCTTCTGAGAATTGTAAGCACAAGTCACGGAAGTGTCAGACTGAACTGTGAAGTGATTATGGGTTTGTCACCACCACCGTTGGCAGAGGACCTTGAAACAGTAATATAGATTCCAATGTCACTGAATTAGCACGGCATGGAGTACCCTTTATTGTAATATGCTCTTCGTAGAGGTCGGACATATCCAAGAAAGGTCAAGGCACATGTCGGTGAACTCCAGCGAGCTTTTAAAGAAGTGACATTCTTTTTAATCAGACATGGCCATGATGACTTACCTTAACTTCATCCAGATGAAGGACTGCTGTTCTTTGACAGTGTTATTCTACTATTTCCTGTCTTGTGTACATGAAGGAGGTGTAGAAATCCCTGGGTCCACTCAGATTAAGGGAGCACGAGTATAATGAATAATGTTCCAAGTTGTTATGGTTTAACCTCCCACACCTCCTCAGAGAGCAAGTTTTAGGAACGCCAATGGGTGAAAAAGCCTTGCCATGTGTAAATCCCAAACCTGCTCTAATTTCTATAAGTGACAGTTATTATTTAAAAAAACTCAAACCCTAATATCAATTCCAGATTGACTGCAATCTTTTGTCACACCGAGTACGGGGATGCAAAGTCAGGTCTCAGGGTTAGAACCAAACTATAGAATGCCATGTTCACCAGCGAGTTTTGTTCATTTGGTATGAACCTGAGCACCTTTGGTCACAGTTACTAACTGATACAAATGGTTGATGGTGAGCTAAGCACCGGGTTATTCTTATTGTAAGTACCAAGTATAGAAGAGAAAAGGTTACTAAACCACAGTTCTCTTCAGGATAGAGAAGATATATCCTTCCTGCATTAGAGATGTGAGCCCACTGCTGGGCAGACGCAGGGTGCTCTTAGATTCCCGAAAGCTGGACACTGAGCTTTTCCACTTGGAGAAAAGGATGGCCAGAGAAAAGATGCCCAGGGACTTTGTCTTCTGTCAGCTGAATTGCCGCAATACCTCCGCTGGTTCCTGCACATATTTTCACCATACATCTGGCTTTGACCTAGAAATCTCCGTTGTTTTCAGACTTCAGCCCGCACTGATTATTTCCTGCCAGCGTTAGACTCTGCTTCCTCTTCTGCATCTTTTTCCTTGTTCATTTCTACCCAACCCTCAAGGGGGAGCCCAAGCCCTACCTTGCCTATGAAGTTTCCCCGATGTCATTGGACTGTCTTGGTAAAGCACTGCTCTCATTCTTGGTGGTTTTAAAAGGGAGATCCGTTCTTCCAGGTCATTCTTAGCCTTGTATCACTTCGCTTTTATTCCTTCTAGCTGAAGTGCTCTCTCCGTAGTCCTTTTTGATTCCTACGCTTTCCCATTTGTGAACTAAAACCCCCATCCCCGTGGTGCTTTTAATAACCTATTTGATATTTGAAAGCTATTAAAGTCTACCTACGCAATTCCCACATTAGGTCCCCCCTTGATTTCCCATCCTCTCTAAATGACTTTAGAATGATGCCAGAAAACCACTTAATGTCCCTCTATAAACACAAATCTGTTCTGTACAAGTGTATTTTTTTAGAGGAAAAAAATAAAGGGGATTTTTACAATAAAAAAAAGGATGTCTACAGCAGAAAGAGATGGAGCTGTGCAAGCTTGCTGCCTAGTTTAAGGAAACAAATACACTACTCTCTATGAAATAGTTTTTATGCCCCCTAAAAGAGATAATTAGAAAGGATTGAGTTGGTTGGCAGGTTATAGCCCCGGGGGAAGAGACGAGTTGTCGTGCCTCATTCAGACAGAAGCCAAATCAAGTTATCCAGAATGAACTTCTTTCTGACTCTGTTATTTTTTTTTTTTTATTTTGGGTGAGGGGAGAGGAGAACGAGGAAGTAGCAGTGTCAAGAAAGACAGCCTAGTAGTGCCTTTAGGACTTGTATGTTGCTTCTTCCTGTTGAGTCGAGGCTTTGTGAAACCAAGGCCAGCTGCAGTATGGTACCTCTCATCTTGCAAGGGTGAAGAGGCTGGGCGTTGAGCAGTCTGCCATTGACCCCCTGGATACGTAAAACCATAGCCTTCCAGTTACCGATAGGTAACACTGTTACTGTTAAAAGACTTGCTGAGGATTGCTGACGATTGCTGACGCTTAACTCAGGTTACACACCCCGATCTGTAAAAAAAGAAAAATACAAACACAGTTTTCTTGCTAAGAGACCTAGTGTCTGTAATCTACGTGAGCACCCATCATTTTGGATAGTCAAGGAGTTCCTAGTTTTGGTGTAATGCAGTAAAGTTATTCAAATTCAGTGTCTGCTTTTTTTTCCCCCTCCTCTTGCAAAAGATGCCCTGTGGGATATGGTGAGTAGCGGGCGGGGGCCAGGGGGTTGACTTTGAGAGAGGAGATGGGGAGTCTTGATGGGGGAAGTTCACTGGTGACCAATAGGGAAGCAAGATAGGCAGGACTAGGAGAGAAGGAGAATTCTGGGAAATGTAATCAAGAGTGAGAGTCGCCATTTGATTCCCCCCCCCCCCCCCCCAAGAGAGGACACATCAGGATGCTGTCCTCGGAAAGATAAGTTCTTATAGAAATATATACTAGTAGTCATGAGTTAATACTTAAGACCATACTAGCCAATGAGAAGCCCTGGACATTGGCCAACAACATTGTAACTGATACATTCTCTGTGTACTATTTTGGGGGCTAAAGGAATCCTGCAACAGAGTCTCTCCTTTCTGAAGGCAGGCTTTCTCTACTTAAAGCTTCCTTGTGATGACTACAAGCCTACTGTGTTCCCAAATGACTCTGTGACACTGCTCTTTGGAAAGCAGCATTTGCGCTTTCTTCCTGGGACCTCCTCTGTTGGCTCTGCCATTTCTCTGAACTGCTTAATGCTTCCTCTCTAGCTTCATGGACTCTGTGTTCCAAGGCCGTGCAGTTTGGGGCCTTGCTTGACCTTGAGGAGAAGCCCTACCTACCAAAGACCAGTCAATTCTGTTTCCTGTCCCTTTGGATAGTAAAGAACTCATTGTGCAAGTCCCTTTCATACATGGACCGATTGATGCAAAATCTGCCTCCTACTCTTCTCTTTGGGTCTTTTCACCTGCCCTGACCTCTGCAGATACCAGGCAACTAGGGATAGCCCCTATTTCCAGTGTCAGGTGGAACTATTCGAACCATTCTTCAGCCTGTTTATTAATATCCTGCCTCACTTGCCCCCTGTGGGAAACACAGAAAACGGTTATTGTTTAGGCTTTCTCTTCTGCCTTGCTGATGCTGGGCTGCTTTTCCTCTTGTAGACCTTTGGTGTGATGCGACTCCTCTTCCTCCTGGGAACTGCGAGTAACAAGATTGTCATTTCAATAGCATTTTTTTTCACATCTCCTGGCCTCTTGATTACTCAGGCTGGCCACATGCTTTTATAACTCTTACCTCTTAACACAAAGTGCTTGGAGTTGAGTCGGTGGTTGTCTCTGCCCTTTCTGCTTCCATCAGCTCTACAAAAGTGATTTCCAAATCCTCAGCACCCGGTATAACAGCATGGCCTACCAGCTGAGACCCCCTCCTGCCCCCTCATTCTTACCCCTGCCGTAGTTTCCGTCTGACACACATAAGCAGAGCAAGGAATTCTAGTTTCTGAGTAGTGTACGCTTCTTAGCTATGACTTGGGAGTTCAGGTTTCAGGTCTGCCATTCATTCCTGTCAAAATCTTCCCTTTGCCCTTCTGACTCTTCCTAATTAGATTCTCAGGACGTTTGGGCAGGAAGAAAATAATGTCTGTGTAAACAAGCACCTTTTGGATAGGAAATTTCTTTTTCATGATGGGAACTTGGCATGCTTTACATCCGGATCATAGGTGAAGAAAGTTTCCATTCATCTCTTTAGATCGAACTAGTCTTATCTTTGTCATTTCTTGTTACCCCTTCAGCCACGGAGGTGATGAGTCCCCCCCCAATTTGCATTGTTTACAGACAAAGCTTATTCCAGGTGTGGGAACTGATTGCTTATCCTTAACAGAACGAAGTCTTTATTTGAGAGTAGTGCAGGGATTCTAGCAAAATGTGACCTTTTGTGGTTGCTTGTGTTAGCATTTGTAACGCGGCTGCTTAGTTAGGTGGTGGTCATTTATCTTCAAATCCCCCCAAAAGTAATAAAATGAGAAAAAGAGATCCAAGGACACCTGATTTTATTCAGCTTTAGATTGGTTTTATCACTGCATACCTTGGTCCCAGGAAGCCCAGGACAGTCAGTTTATTGCTGCTCAGAAAATTTCTTCTGTCAGCATACCTAGCCAGCTGGTGATGGAAAGCAAGAGAGACCAAGAGCCAACCAAGTGGGTTAAAGAGTGGTTACAGTTATATATCTTGATAGGGGTTGAAGGCCTGGACCAAAGGAAGCAGAGCTGGAGGAAGGAATGGAAACGGATGTGATGGGTGGCTGGCCGTGGGTCGTGGGTACGAAAAGGATGGACGGCCAGAGGCTATCAGAACGCCATGACGGGAGGAGAACAAAAAAAAAAAAAAAAAAAAAAAGAAGCAATGTGGCTTAATTTAATTCATGGAGCCTATGATTCCCATGTTCGTGGCTGAAAATCAGGCTGCTGGAATTGGCACCCAGAGCCACTTGGAAGGTGGGTGGAGGGAGGACCAGGCTCATCAGGGTTCAGAGACACCTGGGGGTTCTAGATGCGTATCTGTAAAGACCATGGTGACCGAGGAGGTAGAAACGGGCCACAGGTTACAGCCAACTCCAGGGAGGGAGAGCATCACACTCTGGCTTACTGTCTTCAGAAATGTCTCTGCCAAGGCCTGTTTGTTCTTGGAGTTGGATGGAAGGAGGGTTCCGCCTCCAAGCAGGGATGGAGTTACTTTTCACGAAGGCGGAACAGCGAATGCCAGTCGTAGACCCAGGAGCTTCCCTCAGACAACTGGGCCATCCCTTCTTGCAAAGTTGCTGCTCCCTTCTCTGGAGAGCGGGAGAAGGGCCTCGTGCCTGCCCTTGGGCGAGTGCTCCAGCAGGCTTACCTCAGCAACTGAGGGTAGAAATCAATCACGGGACTGCATTCCTGATAACTTGACTCTACAGATGAGTCACCATGAATCTCTCATCTCGGGATGTGTTGAAAGGGGGCTGCTTGTCAAAATAGTTCCGGGTCATAGTTTTATGTATTCACTTGGTATCGATTCACTGTTTTCCTGTAACCAAACCAGGAATTAAAAAAAAATTTAAAAAGGGGATTTATAAGATTTTTTAAAGTAGAAACACATTCATGTAAATAATAAAGGTGATTTTTTTTCCTAAACAAAATAATCTTGTACCACCATGTCTCATTCATTGCCTGATATTTGCATAACTTCTTTTTTTTTCTCTTCACCTGAGCTGTGACTTTCTGAAAAAAGCAAAGTCCTTCAGTATTTTTGTTGCTGTTGTAGCCTTGCTTTAAAACTTCCACCATGGGATTAGGCCTAAAATAGACTGTTTCATAGTGAATTTGCTTGGGTTGTGAACTCTTAATGTAGTGGAAAATTCACATTTCCTAGCTTCACAGTTTCACTTAGATTTGGGGTAATTCGATACTTCACATCCCTTACGCTGACACCCGCTTTTGCTCATGACCGTCTGTGTCTGTAGATCAGGTGTGTTAGGGCTATCCTGTGATGTCATGGGGGGGGAGGGGAGCAGCACTTGGTCCCCAGCTGGCACATTGTAAAGAGGCACTGGATAATTGATTCTGAAGAACAGCTGGTTGGTAAGGGACGGTGTGTCTTAGGCGCTGTCAACATGGTGGTGTCCTTTGCACGTTTTTTTTTCACTCGTGACGGACGTAATGACAATGTCACGCCTTTTGCCCCTCGTTTCCCATAATTTGGCGGATGAGCCTGGGCAAGCAGCCCTAAGGGTTAATTTGTTGTTTGTTTTTTCCAAAGGTCTCATCAGAGAGTGGAGGACTCAGAAGAAAGCAGCGATGAGATTCTTGCTCGGCTGACGTCTGCGGTAAGACAGTTACCCTACGTGATGGGAGGGATAACAGGTCCCAGGAGGGCGGCAGTTTAGGTACGACCGCTTGCCCGTTTGAGAGGCGCAGTGCAAGGTTCTGGCAAGCTGGCTTGGCGGGACCCTTTGTTGGAGCCTCTAGTGATATCACAGACATTTCTGGTGAAAAGTGTGCACTGCCTTCGTGCTGTGCCTGTAGCCCCTGGGCTTTGGAATCCAGTGTGACTTAACCTAGGGACAGTGGTAACTTGCTACACAAAAGGGAACATATTCTGTTATATTCTGTTTCTTTTGGCAGAGAAAGGAATCTTGTTAGGCAGCAGAAGGCAAGGGCGATGGTTTTTTAACTATGGTATTACAACACGGTCACCATATTTTGCAAGGCCGTTGAAAAGAGTGGCCAGTGGCTTTGGTGGCTGAAGGGGGCAATTCATGACTTCCTTTGTTGTGAAAGCTGGCTGTGACAGCATGCTAGATTTTGTTTTGTTTTGTCTTGTTTTTTTTGAGAGAGGGTCTCACTGTATATCCAGTTCTGGGCTGGCCCAGAACTCACTGTGTAAACTGGGTGGCCTTGAGCTCACACAGTGATCTGCCTGCCTCTGCCTCCAGAGTAATGGGATTAAAGGTGTGGGCCACCGTGTGTGGCCTGTTGTTAAAATGTCTTAAGTTTGCCCAGTAACGAGACTCGAACCGTGAGTCAACCATCCCACCTGGAGTTTTATTGGTGGACAGGGAAGGAAACGGGGGTGAGAGGTAACCAACCCTTGCAGAGTTAAGAGAGAGAGAGAGAGAGAGAAATAAGATGGGGGGGAGGAAGACAAGAGTAAGAGAGAGCGTAAGCAGGCAGGGGTCCGCCCTTTAAAGGGGTCCTTTGCACCTGCGTGCAGACTGGTCCTCACGGGGACCCCTGGGCTGGCCAGAGTGCTGCCTGAATGCATTCCGCCAGGTAACAGGGCAGGCCAGAGTAATGGCTGAATCCTTTCATGGCCCTATGGGCGCTAACCATTAAGCTCATTTTTGACAGGCTGTAGGTATTTCAGTCGCTATGCCTTTGGCGCAGCACTGTCGGAGAAGCATTCCTAGCCTCCCCCTGGAGACTCTTTAGTGCTTCCTTAATACCATAGCACTAGTTTGCATCTCTTACTGTGATCAACACCCTGACTGAAAGCGGCTTGGGGGAGGAAAGGGTTTAAGGGTTTGTCTTAGCTTACACTTTATAGTCCCTCAGCCAGGGACAGCCGGGCAGGGACTCAAGGCCGAGCCCGTGTGGTAGGAACTGAAGCAGAGACCACAGAGAGACATTGTGTACTGGCTTGCTCCACCTCATCTCACGCTCAACCAGCTCCCTCGGGCCCCCCTGTCCGGGGCTGACACTGCCCACTGTGGGTGAGGCAGCTTCTATGTAAATTAACAACCAACAAAAGGCCCCCACAGACATGCAGTACATAGGCCAGCCTGGTGGAGGCCGTTCCCCAACTGAGGTTCCCACTTTCCAAGGTATGTCAAACCGATAGCCAAGACTAGCCCTGACACCCCTTAATGAAATGCTAATTGTAGGAAATCATGCTTGATTGGGCTGTATGTGAGGGAAACTGTGTGGAGCGTGACGCACCGGGTCCTCCGCACATGGACGCAACTTGAAGGACGGAAAGTTCTTTACCGCACTGGAATGGCTTTGGAAGAGTAATTTGGGACTTAATGTAATATGGAAAGCTTTGACACAGAACCTCGCATTAAAGGGAATCTTGACAGTGTGTTAGGAAAACATTTAACAACACACTTCTAGGTTCACGTATAGAACAAAAAGGAGTGCTTGCTCTAAACAAAACAACAGTTACCACCTGAAAACCTCACTCTAAGTCTGATGCCGTGTTAAAATCTGCCTTCTGTGCGTGTGTGTACATACTCTGCAGCTGGCACCGTTTCTGTTTCATAGGTAGGGATGCAAGTAAAGGTTAATTAACTCCAAACTAAAGTCTAAGCTAAAGAGAAGCAGAAAGCAGAAGTTCCCTTTTGCATTTCCCTAGGAGAAGAGGCTATTGCAGCCAGCTACTTAATTACCGTAGAATATCAGTCTCTCAACAGCCTCTTTCCCTGTTTGGTGTCTTGTGGTGGCTGAATGAGAATAACCCCCGTAGGCTCATATATTTGAATGCTTAGTCATCAGAGAGCGGCACTACTTGAGAGGGATTAGGAGGTGTGGCTTTGTTGGTGATGGGTGTGGCCTCCTTGGAAGAAGTGTGTTACTGGAGGTGGGCTTTGAGGTTTCAGAAGCCCAAGCTAGCCCAGTGTCTCTTTCTTTCTGCTGCCTACGGATTCAGAACTGTCATCCACTTCTCTGGTACCACATCTGTCTGCATGCCACTATGCCTCCTGCCATGATGACAGTGGACTACACCTCTGAAACTGTAACCAAGCCTCAGCTAAATGCTTTCCTTTGATTGTGATGTCCCTTCACAGCAACACAACACTGACCAAGACAGAAGTTAGTACCAGGAGTAGGGTATTGCTGTGACAGCCCGATCATGCTGCTTATTGGCGGAATATGGACTTCTTTGGATTAGGAAAGCAGTTGGATGTGTTAAGTGGGGCTTAATAGGCCATACTACTAGGAGTGTCGAAGACAGTGGTGCTGAGAGCAGTGTAGATTATGACAGCCCAGTTCAAGAAGTTTGAGAAGAAAATGTTACTAAGTGGCCTGGAGACCTTCTTGTAATAGTTTGTCAAAGAACCTGGCTGCTTTCTGCCCTTGTCCAAACAATTTGTTTGTAGAGGAGATTTCGAGACAGCCTAGAACTGACTCTGTTGGGTGGTTATTAGTGATCGCTCTTATGCAGATCTATCACGATAAGGGGCAAACAGAGCAAGGGAAAGTAAAAAAAAAAGTACAGTTTGAGGAGAAAAGGAGCTCAGAAAATGTAATAGAGCTAAGTCCAGTGCACGAGGAAATAAAAAAAGTTTAAAGAAAATCCTGATTCTAAAATGGAATAAAGGAAGTGGTGACTTTAGGGCAAGACTCCACCCAGCTAAGTTTCCAACTTGTGAAAAGGAATTGAAGAAAAGCTTAATAAATGAAGGAACCCATCAAAAAAAAAAAGGGAAAAAATGATGAAAATGTTTTTGAATAAGGGGGCCAAGTTCCAGCCCCAACAACCAGCAGCCCTTGGAAATTTCAGCCACGTGGTCCTTGCTTTAGAGTCAAGGATAGAAGAAAAGGGTTGTAGCCTCTTCCTCTATGACTAAGGAAAGCTGCTGTGGACAGGAATGTGTCAGGAGTGTCCCTTCATGGAGGTCCAGGGAGGCTTTTGTCTGAAGCTTCTTGAAGGTAAAGCCTGGATTGTGTTGGAGACTCCCAAGATGCTGGAGTTGCCAGCGCCATGGAATACTTGCCCAGGAAAGCTGCCAACAGGGAGTGAAACCAGCCCAAGAGAGAGAGGTGTGTTTCTGCCGTTTATCGCTCCAGTTGACAGCGTGAACCCGAGAGAGTGTGGCCTAAAAACGAGGCAGACTAATATCTCGTGCAACATCCAACTTTGTTCAGAGCGTCAGACAGTTTACACTCTGTGAGCTAAGAAGAATCACGAGCAAGGGGTTCAGTCACAAGGACAAGCCACGTGTGGCAAAAACATGTATTTTCACAGAGGCACATGAGCAACAACAGCTGAAGGAAACTCGCCTCTACCCGCTATACCTGAGAGGGGCAGAGACGCTCACTCCCAGAACAATGCTGTGTTCTTGAAGAAACTGAGGTCCCAAGACTCATGGGTCATTTACTTGGAGTTTCTCAACAAGCACTCAGAAAAAATTTCTTCACACAACCCCACTCTTGGACCCTGCGTATTGAGGTCAACAAAGCTGAAAGAAGTTGGTGATTTGGAGAGCGCCTTGACGCCAGCCATGGAGATGCAGAATCTGGAGTTTGCCCTGCGGCTTTTCAGTCTTGTTTCGGTCCATTATTTCCTCCCATGCTCCCTTTCCTCCCCTTTAAGTGGTGATGGATATCCTGTGCCACTGTATGCCGGAAGCATGTGATCTGCTTTTGCTTTTGCTTTTACAGGGAGTCACAGCTAAGAGATTGCCATGAGTCTCAGAAGACACTCTTAATGTTTAAACAGCGTTGAGACTGTTAGAGACTATGGGGATTTTTGAAGTTGGACTGGATGCAATTTTGCATTGTGATCTGGCTACAAGTCTATGGGGGCCAGGGAGTGTGATGTGATGTTGAATAAGACTGACCCCTCACCCCATTGGCTCATATATTTGAATGCTTAATCATCAGGTGTTGTGGGATTTCCCACCTGGGTCCTGTTGCTTTAGCCCCCAAATAACACACGAGACACTATATTAATTATAATGCTGTTGGCCTTTTGCTATGGTTTCTTATCGGGTAGCTCTGACTTAATTATGAACCCATAGTTACTAATGTATATTTTTATAAGGATGTATCTTCCCAAGGACGCCATCCTGACATGTCCTCTCATCCTGGGATCACATGGCGACCCTCTACTCTTGACTACATTTCCCAGAATCCTCCTAGACTCCTAGTCCCACCTATCTTGCTTCCCTATTGGCCAACAGTGCTTTATGTATCAACCAATAAGACAAGCATATGCACAGAGGGACTTCCGCCATCAATCAGGGAGTGGCACTACTTGAGAGGGACTAGGGGATGTGGCTTTGTTGGGGATAGGTGTGGTCTTTTTGGAGGAAGTGTGTCACTAGGGGTGGTCTTTGAGGTTTCAAGGGCCAAAGCAGGGCCCAGTTTCTCTCTCTTTCTGTTGCCTATGAATCCAGATGTGGAACTCTCAGCTCCTCCAGCACTGTGTCTGCCTGTGAGCCACTGTGCTCCCTGTAATGATGAGTGAAGATGGCAGTTTTCTGTCTCACCAGGTCCTGACATCCTTCACTCCCAAATAAACACATGGATGCTATATTAATTATAAAACTGTTGGCTGATGACTAGGGCTTCTTACTGGCTAGCTCTCAATTATTAACCCATT